CCCGGATTTCAAATAAAAACCAAAATAACTGAGCTTTGTTGCGTTTGGAAACAATATTTTTGACGCACAATTTTTCACGCCATTAAGACATACATCTCTCACTGTGTAGCTGCGCAAAAGTGATGAATATATAGAATTTTTGTGTGCTAGTTCTTACCGGTGTAAGAAAGCTATAAGTTCATAAACGTCACAAAAACGTGATAAAAATCGAACAGAATCACTCTCAAGTTAAAATGTTTGGTTCTGGCTGAGTAATAAACAAACTGAAACAACCAAATTAAATTTCATTTTTAATGTGAAAAAGTTTATGAAGGAGTTTAAGGTATAATTAGACAATAAACCAAAAACAAAATCAAGCAAAAATAAAGTATTTTTACTTGCCTTGAAAAACTGAGCACATTCTGGAATAAAATAATACTATAAAATATGAATTGCAAAAATACAAGACTATGAAAGAAAAATGTTCTTATTTTATATTGTTACATATTTTATTATCTGTAATAAAAAGGGACTTCTACAATGTACTACTAGATAAACCGTTTTATGGCCTCAGTGCTTAAAATTTTTATGATTTGTGCAAAAGATATATTTAATGCATTTTTTTAATTGGTATTCATATTCTGCTAGTGATTATTTTTTATTTTGATGTGACACATTGTGTACAGTACAGTTATCTCATTTTGCAGAAAATTTGATTTGTGTAGTTTAGGGAAAATATAAATAAATATGAAAGTGTATGCAACTAAACAGGATTTAGAATCATTACAATATGATGACAGGCTTGGCTAAAATATAATGAAAGTTGAGTTTTCGATTTATGAATTCAAGCATATATTTGAAATGTTTTTATTTATTATTTTTGAATGCATCGAATATCAAAGTGACATAAAACTTTAATAAATTTTATTCAACTCAATTTATCTTCGTCCTATCTGTAAGAGGTATATTAAACATTGTTTTATTTGGAGCACAATTTGCATTTTCTCTTAATAACATGTTTTTATTGATTTTTCCTTTCCCCTTCTTTCATTGCCTCACCAATCTACTTTAAATTAAACTGTGCGAGGTACCAAACTTACCACAAGCATCAACAAACCCCTCTTGAATTAAATCTAATCCCTAATCCTGCCCGGAATATTTTCTCAATAAATATTAAAATGAGAATTCAATATGAAAAAAACCAATTCAAATTTAACTTTAGTGTAAATATGCCCGGGTGAGGAATCAAAATTCTCTATACGGCAAAGAAATCAAATTGGGAATGTGAAATGACCCAAACCGTTTTTTACTGAACTTCGCTCGGAATCTGGTTTAAATGTACCCATGTGGGACATCAAAACCTCTACTGTCCTGCAGAGTTTTAACCTAAATCTGATTTAAAAATCTGACTTGACCTGACCATATGCGATCCACTCGCCACTCTCCAACTTTTTCCTGCAAACTGAAAGACGCACTTTACAAATAATTAAAATTTATAGACATCCCTTTCGTCGATTTTTTCGAACCTAATTGGAAGATTGTGCTTCAGACAAGTCATGGAAGAAACTGAAAATAACGAGCACATAAACAATGAAAATATTAATTAATGCATATCACTATTTAAGAAAATCAAATCAGCAAAAAATGTTAGCTGCAAAATGGGAGTCGGATTTGGATTACTTTTCCTACTAAATTACATTTGATGAGTGTTTAAATGACCATTTAAGCAATTAATAGCAGAAGGCGTTTTAACTGAACGAGTGTAGTTTCTGGTAATTGATTAGAGCGATTTTTTGATTACTCGTAATTACAAGATGAATATTTTTGTGTATAGTATAATATAAATTAGTTTGTTATTTATTTGTCGATTTGAGTAGTAAACTGCATGCTTGTTCGTAAGTATCCATGGCAACGAACGCTTCAAACTGATGGGTTTAGTATATATTGTACTAAGCGCAACATATTCTGACGATTCCTATTTCACTTCGTATTGTAGATACCTAGCAGTGATTTGATTAATAACGCAAGTTTCTAAACAAGATTATTAGGAAGAGGGAGCTACTAGAATAATAACGCAAACTTAGAAAAATAAAAGTGGCTTTTGTGAACTGATGTGTAGCTCTCGTAGTTTAAATGGTGGCATCTGATATTGGATGAGTCCCTAAGCCAAAATGACTTGATTAAATCATTTTATTGTCCAAGGTATTTAACTCTGAGGAAATATTACGGAGGAGCAATGATCCCTAACTTATCCTCCATGTGCCGGATGAGGTTCTTTGTTATTACATTTATAATAGCAACTTTAATAACTTCACCATTTAAGTCTGAGAAAGATAAGAATTTCAACAGACGTTTTCTCTGAATTAAATACGTAGTAAATAGGAAAATATTTATCTCGATTAAAAAGTTTCCTTCAAAGTTAACAACAAGATAAAATATTTTTACAAGTTGCACGATTTTCCAATCAATTACGAATTGTTCAGTCGGACGTAGTTTCCCCTTGAAGTAAATAACTAATTCAATAATAGTTCTAATTCAACTAATTAAAGGATAACGTTGAACGCTCTGTTAACTCAGAAATAGGAATGTGATTGCTGAACAGCTGAATTTCTTGCTTCCACACCTATTCACTTTAAGGATAAATTCAGCTTTTCTGTCTCAATGAAAGAGGACGACTTAAATTAAGGACCATCAGAAGAAGCCTAGATTGCAGTGTTATAGACGTCGAAAAATTTAAGCCTGCCAAAGAATTCAAGCATCACTTTTAGCCATTGTGAGCTATTTAATTTGATTTAAGATGGCCGCTGGTGTACTACTCTCAACAAAACACTTTAAACTCTTAGTCCCACTCTCAACTTATTATTTGCAATACTCACGATTCTGCCTCAGGAACAAGCTGATTTTACTGGAGTCAGAAATAACATAAAGGCGCAATTGCATTTTAATGCAATACGTGCTCATAGTCAACTGAATTAACTTTCAGCACTGACTGACTAATCCAATAACATTCAGAGTTGCAATTTGGTGTTGTTTCAAAAGTGATTGCACTATTAATTAAACTAAAGTAATTTACAAAGCCCAAAAATTATTTTTGAGATAAAATATAGCAAAATCGCCACCCTGACTCGGGAGTTTAAAGCCGCAGTTAGGTAATAATCATTACGAATTAATAAAGAACGAAACTAGTCATTTTGAAACAGTTTGTTAAATTTTTCTTTAACTGTATCACTTTTACATTATAATGCTTTATACTTTAAGAAAATAATCCAATCTCAATATCAAGTAATGAAATTTTGACTTGTTTGACTTGAAAATCATGTAAGAAAAATCTATACCAGGTGAATAAAAAGTATGGAACCAAACGTTTTTTGCTTAAACTATATATTTTTTGAAAAAACTAATTGATGAGTGATAAAGTACTATAAAAATGTGATGATTTAACAAGAATAAAATTTTTCGAAATTTCCTTTTGTTTTTGAGTTCTACAAAAAACTTATTTTTTTTTAAATGGCAACCCACTATAAAATTATTTTTCTCATAAAAGCTATACTCTAAGGATTACAACTATCTGCTTTATTAATTTTAATTTTAATTAATTAATTAATTATTAATTTTTTCAAAAAAAAATTTCACATAAATTGCAATTTTGACAAAAAAAAATCGCATAACTCGTTCTGAAAATACGATCACATTTTTAATATTACTTTCATTTATATTAATTATTATTTTCTGGAGGCAAATGATTAAAAATAAAACCGCTTGGTTCCACACTTTATATTCACCCTGTATATCTCAGTCTATCGTGAATGAAAATCTTTTTTTTCTTTACATAAAATTCATTGATATTAATTAAGACAATCCTAAAAAAACTACATGTTTTTGAGAAGATTGATTTTTGAATCTTTTTGACTCTTTAGCATTACTCTACTTAAATAAATAATTATAGGTATTATTTTATTGATTTATAGATTGCATAGGTATGTAACAAACAACACACGAGTGCCCGTATATATTTTTTTCAGATTTTTTAAAATTTTGGAATTAGTTTGCCAATATTCTAATGTATTATGAAATAATTACTACTGCTACTACTACTAAAAATCTTGATAGTAAAACTGTAAAGGTGCTGGGCTGGATAAAAATAATTTATTTATTCTTACATTTATGTAAAAACAGTATGTAATATTTGATTTTATTATTATTACTGCTGAAGGAAGGCTTCGGTCGTTGCGCATTGACATAAAAGTACGAAACCGTTTTTCACGCAGAAAATTTGGCCATAGGGAACCTGTGTGTATCTCGGGAGTAGAGTGTACATTTGTTGATCAAAAGGAATAAATCAATAAGTCACATTTGTAAAATTTATTGTGTAGCTGATTAAAGTGGAACAGCAATTTCAGTCGACGTCAACTTACGTGACTAATTAGGCAATTAAAGATTCAACTTTGTTGTTTAAGATAAAGCTTTATTTGATTTGAACAGGAAGTGTATTTGGTAGATTTACGTTTGTAGATAGTAAGATTGTTCGCGTATAAGGGTGTAAGAGTGGTATATGGTATAATAATTGTATTGTGTATCTAATAATTGGATTGTTGAAAGTGATAAAGAAAAGAAACGCCAAAATCAAGTCACGTTAGCAATCTGTGGGATCAATCGTATAAGTCACGAACATTTCTGGTTTTACACAGAGGAACATAATCTTGTAGAAGATTCAAATCCGGTGGAGAAAGTTTGTGAATTCTTTTTCCTGTGTCTTATCAGGAACATAAATAATAAAGATAAAAGGAATGTTTTTCAACACGTTAATGAACAGGTCGGTGTATCGCTCCCATAGAGGTAAATTTAAATGTTTAATGATGCAGTAAAATTGCAAAAGTGCGCGGGTGTTGACCGGAGACTCCCAACTCGGAGTTAATGGACCAAATAGACTGATTTCTGTGCATGCAGATTACGTCCCAACATGACTGCACCCGCTAAAACCACAGACGAACCTAAAAGTAAAACATTTATTTTTGTTGCAGATTGCGCAGAAGGCGGTTCGGAGCATAACAGTCCATATTGGGAGCAACCGTTTTCTCAACCGTATTTTGACAATACCACTCGAAGGGAGGTCACAACTACAGTGGGCCAAACGGCTCATTTGCATTGTAGAGTCAGAAACCTGGGAGACAGAGCTGTACGTAAATCTTATTGCATATCATTTGCAATTTACCTAGTTGCTAGTTGTCACTGATCTCGACACTCAACACTTTAATTATCATCCGTTCCGTCCTCCATTTTACTCCACGCTACCCTTTGACTTTTTCAAAGCCCAGCTAACGACATGTATGGCTGAAGTTCATACTTTGTCACAATAAATTATTGCCACCGAAGCAAACGAATTGTCAAATGTCACCTTCGTTTCAACAATCAAAATTACCATTTCATAATTTCTAAAGTCGTTAAAAGCAAACTTCCAACTACTTCGCTGCAAAGTATGCAAAAAAAGAAAACAGCTCGGCAACAATAGCTATTCCTCTATGTACTTTGCTCTGATTCCAGAAAAATATTCCAAGAGGAAACAACGATACGAATACTGTAAAGAATACTATTTACTTTGTCTCTTTAGCGCTTACCTAAGTACACGAAATACATTCACTAACGCAAATTATCCTCATATAATAATTACTCGCAAAATAAGTAATTTCCTAACTGCGTACAACATACCAACACTAAACAGACTTCCCTCTGTTTTCAACAATTTCAACTCAACTGTAAAATTAATTTACACGTACAGGAGCTTTATATACAAGATGACCGAAGGGTGTGTAATCGATCTATAACTTTTTTGCTATTTGATGTATTGATATGTGGTTTTTAACCTCCGTTAGATCTACATAAAGGGCACCATGTAAAGATATTTCTATTATACACAAGATGTTTTGTATCCAGAGTGGGGAACCAAACTTTATTTTTTTTAAATATATATACTTACATTATTAGTTTCTTCGTAAAAAATAATTGTACTTTGTGTAAACTATTATAGGCATATTTCTTTCCATTTCGGAACTATTCAACTGAAAAATAGCAAAAGAACAATTTAGAAAATAGTCGACTTTTAGCTCAAGCACACATTACATGTTGTGCCAACACGCAAAAACTTAAATAACTCATTTTTTAAATAGAACAATCTGTATTTGTTTTCACTTATTGAGAGCATTTTTGACAAGCTTCTCCACGATATGCAGTTTGAGGTTGTAGTAGATTTGAAATATTTCTCGAGACTTTCAAAACAAATATACAGAGTGCGCCAGAGAAAAATGCCAGGTAAGGTAAGATATCAGAAACATAAAAGAAATGTTAAAAAATTCTATCAATAAAAATTTCGAAGTTATGAGAGTTTAAATTCTGCACTTTGACTCTATTTATTTCTGTTGGAAAAACAATTTTCCAAGTTTTTTTACTACAGGCTATTAGAAGAGAAAACAAGGAAGCTATATCCTAAATTGTAACTCTGTTCAATGTTATTTATGGATTTTATTAGCAAAATTTTTGTACTGTTACTAAATAGTAGTAAAAAAACATATACAAGATCATCAGTATCATTAAAAAGGAATAAAAAAATGTCAAATGTCAAAAAATAAATGTCCAAATTTTTTAACAGATAGAATATTTTAAACATTTTTTCCATGTTTCTGGTATCATATCTTACCTCAAATGTTTCTCTGGGGCGCGAGTTCTGGCGCACCCTGTAATTATTATTACAAGAAAATTTGTTAACTTTAAGTAGGCTACTGTCAATACTGTCAGAGAATCTAATAACTTAAATGACAATTTAATCTTACACGAGAATATATTTTCTTACTCATTAAGATGTACAGTGCGATTAAAAAGTCTTTCTTTTAACCAGGCACAGAAATTTAGAACTTGCGTCTACGGAGGATACCTACAATGTCCCAATGACAAATGAGAAATGACAAAATAATTTTTATGTAAGTTATGAACGTGCTAGTAAATAAACACCAACATCTCATTTTAGAATAGAATGTCTTGAGACGTTTGATACAATAATTCAATTTGCTTAACCCTTAAATGCTCATGCGGGGTCTTTCGAGGACCCCGTCTCGACAAACTTTTGCATATCTTTTTTATTTGGACTTGTTAACAAGGCAGTGTTCTGGTATTTGTTATTTAATGTCTTTTGCAGGGCAAGATAGGATACTGCCACAAAATTAGTAGTTTATAGCGTTGTAGCAAATGATAAAGTTAACTGAGGTCTCGTGGGGACCCCCCAAAGATGTTTGAGTGACCAATTATTTATTTCAATCTTTCCGTCTTTTATTGAAATTTTTCTTTAAAAAATGTATCGACGATAACAAGAAAGATCACTTCTACAATATGAACTCGAAGAAATAGCAGCAAATTTGAATATTGATTCAGAAAGCTACTAGGTATAAATTGATGATACCATCACTAACGCAATTAGCAGATGATCTTTCTTGAAGCAATTTGAAATATAGAGAAAAGATTATCATAAAAAACGTAATAAAATAGCTTTCCGCAACTGTTGAATAAAAGCGTACTCTTTCAAACGACATCAGCATAAACCAGACAGGAAACTTGTTAGGTGTCATGATTGTCCTAGGGCAATTGAAAAAAAAATTACATCATGCGGCCAATGCAACAAATGCAACAAAAGTGAGAAGTTATAACGTGTTCCAACTGCTTATCAGTTATCAGTATAAATTTTTATACCTGAAAATTATTTTCGGCATATTATTCCTATTCATATGTATTTCAGATGTATTTATTTAGATTTTAGTTTCGCATACGTGTAAATGTGTTGTTTTTTTGTTAAATTGTATTTAGATATAATTTAAACAAGCCCTAAAAGTTTTTTTTACTTGTTAAATAACGACTTGTGATTTCTATACTTAAAAAAATAAAAATTCAAGTGGGATCCCTAGAAGACCCCGCATGAACATTTATGTTTGTTTCAAAGGCATGGACATCTAAAGGTTAAATCAACATTTTAATTTTTATAAAAAAATTTTTTTGACATCTAGCTAACATACAAACTGCCATACGACATTCGACCTCAACTTTTGCGCCTACTTGATAGAAAGACACTGTAGAATAACAATGTTGATAGTAAGTTAAACATGATTATTACAATGAAAAAAAAATTTTTCTTGAAAATCTCGAGAAATATTCCAAATTTACTACACATACATACGCTATCAATACGTGAAAAAAAAAATCTATAAAAAAAATTAGTTATTCAACATTTTGTGTGTTGCTATACCCTGTAAAGTGTCTGCGTACTTAAGTTAAAAGTACAAGCTATTATAAGTTTTCTTTTTACAATTTTTTCGGAAAAGATTCATACCCGACTGTAATTTTGTAATTTTTCAAATGTCGATCTTTGTATAACAAAAGTTGAATAAGTCCGAAACAGAAAGAACAGTTTACATAAAGTACCATTATTTTTGAATGTAGAAACTAATGTTGTAAAAATATGTAGAGTGTTCTATTGTAAAAAATATAACTTTTGTTCACTACTCTGTATTTAACACACACTATATGAGATAACAATATTTTTAAATGGTACTTTTTAAGTAGGTCTACCGGATACTGAAAATGGTTTTTCAAGTTTTCAAGTAACAAGTAAATGTATCGATACACCCCTAGGTCAGCCTGTATTTATATTATTTAATTTAAATACAATTACAAATACAAATTTTACGCAAAGAAGTTTTATACTAGTAAGTTCAATTAAAAATTTTACTTCAACTAGACTCAAGAAATTATTTTCACCTCAATTTCCATGGCTATGCGCACAATTATTGTATGTCCAATATTTACGATTTCGAGACATGCATTTTGAAACTTGTGTAGCTGCCTTACTAATGTGCGCATTCCAATAATATTCAAACTTTTTGAGTGCGTTGTATATACAGGGTTCGCCAGAACTCGAGCCCCAGAGAAAAATGTCAAATGCCGGGGGCAATAGGTCGCCAAAAAGTGCAGCCGAAGAAGTAATTTTTGCTTGCATAAGAGAGTTATTACACTCTTAAATCCACCAATCCCAGAAGGGCACCTCAAGGTGTGATTGAAAAATTATATCCATTGCTAGGTTACGAAAATAATACCAATTTGCCCAGAATTTTCATTAAATAGCTGGTCTACTGGAATTTTTAGTTTGACATTTATTAATTTGTGGGTGACATTACCTGCTAGTTTGCAGTATTTTTCTCGCATAAGAGGTTGTACACGAGTATAATGAGACAGAATCGAATCAAAAATTATTTTGAAACATTCTGGAAATTCCTGATGAACCGACTTCTTCACAGGTATTGTTCCTTCTCAACTTTTTCTTCGATCTGATACAGATTAACAAACCGATAAATGAATTTTAGAGCTTGAAAACTAGTGCGTTATCTTTATGAAACAAAGAAGCAAGTGAGAGTGAGACCAGAAAAACATGAAGAAGTACGCAAGTTTCTTTATTTACATTAATGCAAAATTAACAGAAAAATGTACTTTTTAGAAAGGGAGTCACGTTATGTTGAAATTAGTTGATATTATTGACAAACCACATGATTCCTCGAAAGACCAGCCCACAAATTCACCAAAAAGAGTTGCTGAAATGCCCTCGGAATTAATTGGATTTTACTTTTCAGCAGCAAAAATGCTCATTTTTCGTACTAAACACAAACACCGCAACATTCTTCTGGATTTTTTAATGAAAAAGTAGCCAAGGTTATAGTAAGCTCATGTGAGTGGAAGAATTTACAAAATTTTGGAGGTTAGAATTCCTCTACTGGGCAAAAATGCCTAAATACGAGAGTAAAACTACATTTTAATATTAAAATTAGTAACCTGTTTTATTTAAACACAATTTCTTATAAAAAGTACCTCTTTCTGTTAATTTTCCATTAAAGTAGATAAAGAAACTTGCGTACTTCTTCATGTTTTTTCTGGTCTCTCACTTGCTTCTTTGTTACATAAGGATATTGCACTAGTTTTCAAGCTCTAAAATTCATTTATCGGTTTGTTAATCTGTATCAGATCGAAGAAAAAGTTGAGAAGGAACAATACCTGTGAAGAAGTCGGTTCATCAGGAATTTCCAGAATGTTTCAAAATAATTTTTGATAATAATTAACGATTCTGTCTCATTATACTCGTGTACAACCTCTTATGCGAGAAAAATACTGCAAACTAGCAGGTAATGTCACCCACAAATTAATAAATGTCAAACGCAAGACCAGCTATTTTTTAAAATTCTGGGCAAATTGGTATTATTTTCGTAACCTAGCAACGGATATAATTTTTTAATCACACCCTGAGGTGCCCTTCTGGGATTGGTGGATTTAAGAGTCTAATAATTTTCTAATGCTAGCAAAAATTACTTCTTCGGCTGCACTTTTTGGCGACCTATTGCCTCCGGCATTTGACATTTTTCTCTGGGGCGCGAGTTCTGGCTCACCCTGTATATTTTAATAATTTAAAATTACAAAGTATTAATGATCAGTTAATTAAACAAATTCATATTAAATAAATTTATGTCATAAATGAACATACAATAATTGTGCGCTTAGCCATCGAACGTCCAAGAAAACTGATTCTTTTAAAATTGTGTGTCACAAATATTGTATAAACAGTTTTGTACAATTTTTTCGGTACAGTTATTGTATCTCCAATACAAATTTATTTTCATTGTCTAAATTGTTCCTGAAGAGAGCACATATGAAGTATGTCCAGACATACAATATCAAATCACTTGAAAATAGTTCAAATTGCATAAAACCACTTTCATAATCCAGTTAAAACTTTTTGGAAGAACCACAAATATTGCATTGAAGTTTAAGGTGTTTTATAATGATTTTTTTTTTATTTATACCTAGCAAAATATGTTATTTGTCTGTACAAGTTTAGTAATTATTGATTATACAATATTTCTAATGGACATATCCAGCTTGTGCATAATTTTTATAATTTCAGTAGTTAGAAATATGTTACATAAATATCTAAAGTTCAAGTAATAAAGTAATAAATAAAAGACTCCCAGCCACTTATTAGCTTTATTACATAACGCTTTTGACTATCAAACCAATAGGTTTTAAAAGCACGTGAGCCGTATTTTTTCTTGGCAAATTTCCATCGTATTCAATTCAGGATGTAAGGTCAGAAGAACACCCTATCCATTCGTCGACTAGTAATAGATAAAAGATTTAATGTGAAATGCGAGGGTTAACTTCAAAGCACTCTTGTCCAAAATTACTAAAAACGTAAATGTTTGTCTGCAAGAATACGAAACGAAACAAATTACATTCAAAACCACAAGTAACGAGTTGCCAGTGGGGCAAAAGGCATTTGCCCCGTGGCGTAGTAAGACTTGGATTGCTGATGTAGGTCCTTATTATCAAAGAAGACTGCAGTAAAATTAAAAACGTAACATTTAAAAAATTGTTTATTAATAAAACAATCAGTTGTGTATTGTTTTTGATTTTATAGATATTCACATAATACTCGAAATGGTAAACGAAAATATTGAAGTCTTAAATAGCTTTTCTATAATTTGCCTCCATTTTGATTCTCTAATAGACATATATATTAAAAAACGCGACGTCATCATGTGCGATGTCTTAATAGTCAAAAGGCGACTAGATCAAATGAGGACTTTTTAAATTAAGACATTAACAAACGTTATAACTATTTTTTTTATTTAAAAACGGCATCAAGAGAGCAAATTACAAAAAACTCGTTTCATAAGACCTTGAAACACTCATCCTTTAAAATAACTCGTAGCCACGCCACTCGTTTTTTAAAATTGGATTCGTGTCTTAAGACTGAAACTTGTTGATGTGTAAAATTTTTCTGTAAATATTTGGTATTACTTTTAATACAAACAAAACAAATTTGTATCAACTGTCAAATAAAATTCGTATAAAGACTCTTATTGTATACTTTTTTAACAATAATTTGTATGACGTTTTGTTTGTATATAAAATAATCCTTTAGTCAAAGTAGATATACAAAATGAAGCTAAGAAACTGGGCATGACCCACGTAGCCTTTTTCACTAAGCCATTGGTCTGGATTCAGCTCGAGCTTCGTTTTTCTAGGACTGATTAGCGAAACGACACTCTTCGAGTTATTTTTCTAAAGGTAAAAACACAAACACCGGTTTAATCAGCTAGAGACTTTAAGGTTCGTCTTTTATCACCACTGGTAATTAATAAAGAAACTTCTTGACATTTTTCTAGTTTTTCGTAAACAAGATTAAAATCTAAATGTCCCAATTACTGATGTCTTGATGCAATTTTCTCGTCGGTACTTCCAATAATCAGTTTTTGAATGCTATTGTGGAATATTGACGAGGTTTTACAGGGCCGGAACTAGCTCAACCAACCAAAGCTGAAAAATTTTTGTATTACAGACATCGAATAAAAATTTTAAAACACGTAGTTTTCCTTGATAAGTTTTGCTACTATTTTTTTAACTGGAGATTGAATTAAGAATTAAGCGGGGTTTTACTCAAAGTGAATTTTGTTGTTTTTGGTTAATTTTCAGGTTTCGTGGATCCGCAAGCGGGATTTGCACATCCTCACAGTGGGAATCCTGACTTATACGAACGATCAACGATTTCAGTCGCTGCACACAGATGGTTCAGACGAGTGGACGCTAAAGGTGACGTCCCCTCAAACTAGAGATTCCGGCATCTACGAGTGTCAAGTCAGTACCGAACCTAAAATTAGCCAAGCGTTCAAACTGAATGTTGTAGGTGAGTAATAAAGTTTCAAGTTCCGCTCATGCTCTAATTCCACCCTACGTGCTTGAGGATAGCGCAAAACACTCTCACATTTCGCGTTTCTTCTCGAACAGCATCATGAGGAAATGGAACGTTTCAATTTATCTACATCACTAACTTCATGCAAATCCTAATTTCTTGAATTCTGTTGTAATTGTAACAATTCGAATGTTGCCAGCCTATTACTTGAGTTTCATAAAAGGCTCAACAGTTTAATTTTATTCCAGTTTTGGTGGTTTGTTATCTAATGTTGTTGGTTGTTTGTTTCAGTTTCAAAGGCCAAAATAGTGGGTAACCCCGAGTTGTACATCAAAAGTGGAAGTGATATAAACTTAACGTGCATAGTTCTCCAGACGCCAGACCCACCAAGTTTCATTTACTGGTACCGGGGAGGAAACGTGATTAACTATTCACAGCGTGGTGGCATAAGCGTAGTCACCGAGAAGCAAACACGAACAAGTCGTTTGTTGATTTCACGAGCCTTGCCCCAGGACAGCGGTAACTACACATGTTCGCCCTCCAGCAGCGACGCCGCCAGCGTCCTTGTGCATGTCCTTAATGGGGAGCAACCGGCAGCCATGCAGCACGGCAACAACAGTAGCACCGCCATTTGCTGGACGATAGATTTCGTACTTGTTATATTTCTCCAGTGCTTTGTGCTAGAAAGGTGAATTCCAATGATCCTCTAATGCAGTCTATTATTATATCAGCGATAAATGTTTATCAATTTGATAATGGTAACACTGTGGCCGTGTAAATATCAGCGGATGACCAGTTATTGTTGTATGTCCAACACGTATATCATAATTTGTTTGTATAATTCTGATGTACATAGTTGTTGCTGTTAAATTGTTGTCATAGATGAAAATTACAGCTGGTCTATACTATATCATATGTGGCTGTCTGATTTATTACTATTATTTATTACACCAATACCATATTTCAATCAATCCCATTATATGTATATATTTAACATTTTATCTATGCTTGATAATCGGAACTTGGTCCTAAAGATTGAACTAAAAAACGAAAGATCTAATTTTGACAGGCGAGCCTTCACTGGCCATATCGACAAGTACAGATTGTTTTATAAAAATAAGGAACTTAATTTGGTGGAACATTTGCCTACAAAATTAGAACGTTTACAAGCACTGACATAAAATTAATAACTTATTAATATTAATATTTTTTTAGTATAATCACATTTCTGTTTCAAAAACGATAATATAGCGTTTAGAATGAAGTACTTGAAACCTGAAAATAATTCAACAAATCATCACTAGGTATGCAAAGTTAATGTGAATAATAATCGACTCACTCAGCCCCTGCTTCAACTACAACCTCACCAACAATGTTGCATATCACATGACCGCAACCGCTACGATTTTTAATCTGTAGCTACCAGAAGAATCCAGAAATGCATTACTTAAACTATTGGAAAATTCCGGTCAATATGTGATTGTGATTGCGTGATAATGTTGTTTTCCAACTGACTGACGTTGTCACACACAAAATCATTTCATAAATGATGCACTAAATCTAAATTAAGCATTGTAGTTTCAACGCACTACACAATAATTAGCTAAATTAAGTGCATCATAGCTTTTATCTTCCAATGTCATTCGATATTAATTGATAATGAAAGTGGTGTTTAAGTGATGAATTTGAGGATTTCCAATTTCCTGTGTTATTTTAATTTAAGTCACGGCCTAACATTATGACGTTTATTTGAATTTTATGTACCTAATATACATGGCTTATTAAATGACATTCCAGTAATGTCGTGATTTGATTTAAACTTTGATGTACAATTTCAGTGTAAAATTTTTCTAAAACTGTAGAAATCGTTATAGGTTTCGTTGTATTAGTTTTTATATCCGTAAACAAAAACAGTATATGTTTAAAATTTATTTATCTAAATGTAGACTATTTAAATTTGTTATGTAAATATTAGCAATAAATAGAAATAATGTTAATATAAGCTTCAAAAATTAGAAAGCTATTAGATATTTGTTTTAGATTTTATTGTAATATATGACCAAATAAAATATTTGTACTTAATCTACGTCTTTTTTTTATTAAATAAAAAGTCAAAAGAAATCTAAACGTTTAACACTTTTACACAATTGCAACAATTCACTTTGAAAATTATTTACAATGTCAAATAGTAATATGATGAGGTGCTCCGGAGCCTAACACATACCACCACACATTACTTGAGTAATCTTTTCCTTTCAGAGGACTGCAGGATTATATAGCATTCTTTTCGTTACAGGTTACTGTAAGTTATTACAGTTATCTATAGTAAAACTAAGTTGTTGGAAATAAAAATATCATTATCAAAAAATAATTAAACTTCTTTATTATGGGATGCTTATGGCGACCTCTGGTGGCTGGGCCATTTCAAAAATTATTGAAAACGGTCTTGCCTATAATTGTCCACTATCCCCGAATGGACTCACAGGGCCTGATTTACAAAAGATGGCGCTCGTGTTGATGCCAGATTCTCATGATGGGTGGCAATAAAAATAAGAGTGTACACCCGGGGAAAAAACTATTCACCAGTCTAACTTTCTGCTCACACCACTGATTACACACTGCACTTTGTTGCAATAGTGTTTCCGACTAACTAGTTGTGGAGCAGGTAATATGTCGAAAGACCCTTATTTAGGAAGTTGGTCCGGACTCGGGGAGACACGTTTCTTCAAAACGACACTCGTTTCTTCAAAACGGTCTTTTTCTGAAAATTTCTTCAACGAGTATAGATTATTAAATGGCATTTAAAACTAGTTCTACAATCTTGATTTTTGAAAGCTGCAGATAAAGAACCTTAAAAGTCAAGTCAAGCTAAAAATTTTTTTCCTCTTGTAAACCTAATCCGGGAACAAACTGTATACTTGCAAAATACATTTCTTAAATAAAATCACAATTTAATGTATACGTTATAATCTATGCTCATTGCAGTAATTTTCACAAAAAGGTATTTTTCGGGTCCGGATCAACTTCCTAGATAAGGGTTTTTTGACATATTACCTGCTCTCCAACTAGTTAGTCTGAAAAGCTATTGCGACAAAGCCAAGTTAGACTGGTGAATAGTTTTTTCCCCGGGTGTACATACTTACCCAGGGACTCAGGAAGTTTTTGCAAAAACTATTAGGTAAGTGAGTTCTTCAGATAAAGGATCAAACTGGGGTTCTCACGTAGTCCCGATTTTCAATGTCATTGGATAGTATGAATAAAATGTAGCAAAAGCTTTCACTATAGTTGTTTTATCTCTGCTTTTGTTCTCCTAAAATGAAGTTCGTCGTATTTCTTACTACAAGTAAAAGCATGAACGTAACTTTGTTCACACGGCTCATGGTCTTGTGAGAAAATGCTAAAACTGTAAGTAGTTTTTGTTAATTCTATGTTCTTCACAAAAACAGTTTTTGGAAAACTGATCCGGTTTAAACTTTAATTAGTACAGGCACCTAGTTGCTATTTATTTTGATATTTTAGGATAAAAAAAGCTCTTATACTTATGCCGCTTTTATGCTCATGCTCTCTTATGCGCGCTCATGCTCTTTTATTATGCTTGTTAGAATTAGAGAAAAATTGTTGACTTTTGCGGGATTTGAACCCCGAACCTGCCTCCCGGAAGTAGTAACCTTATGTAACCTTACGTCACTACGCCACCAAGCTCCCGACATGCTGTAGTCTAATACATTCATATAAAAAAATTTAATATGTTCAGTTTTTGTGTTTCTGCAATGAAAAATTGAACTGTCATAATTTAGTTTGTTAATTAAAATTGATGGCGTTTTTTTTCCAAAGCACTTTTCGCAAAAACGCTTTTTCTTAATTTTGCATGTAAAATTTGATCATATCGTGTGATACATCGTTGTAATCAGGAACAGACTTTTCAAAAATACAGAAATCAAATATGGCGTCCATAAGAAAATCCAAAGTTGAGTGTTGTAACTCTGATATCAAATGAATGGGCCCCCCCTGACTAAAATTACCCCATCTAATTTTATAAATTACTGTTTGTTTTTATTTTATCTTATTTGAATGAATAAATTATATGCAGTTAGTTACATATATGTGTTAAAATTATTATGTAGCGTTATATTTATTAATTTTAAAAGCTTACTCGTGTGATAATTAATTAACTTATTGCCCCCCCCCCCTCAAGAAAATTTCAAATGACCACCCCCCTGGATATCTGTAGTTAAACTTGACCAAAAACAGCACTTTTTCGCAGAGCGCCACTTGATTGATCATTTTTACGATTTACCACTGACCGCACCTTCAAAAAAACTCAAGAAATTAATAATTTCTCAAACTCGACCCAATAACGTTTTATGCAATTTTTTATTGTTAATAACAACACATAGATTTTAGTAATAAATGTTACTCTGAATAAAATAAAATGTTGTTTGTACAATCTAAATATCCATTTGAATAAACTTCCAGGCAAAAAGAAGCAATAAACTATAACGGAAAAAATGGAGAAATTAAAATCCTTCTAAAATCTGGTTTTGGGGAACTAGATGTCGCTGGTGGTGTGTAAAGGTCGTTGGTTGGTGTCTTGTCTATTGTTTTATTTATTTTTTTTGAGACGTTTTTCTAAAATGTTGAAACTCTTTTATAAATTTGTGTGGAATAATGATTGTGAAAATTCGGTAATTGGTGTATCGTGGCTGTAGAAATCCCTCTTTTCGTTGAGGTTAATTGCAAATTTACAGTTGTTCGTTAGTGATGTTGTTTAGTTGTGTTGGCTCTCCTGTTGTTTCCCTCCAATTTGGCGCGCCATCTTCAGTGTAATAAATGGAAGTCAGGTTTGTTTTGGTTGGCGTTGTGCTGTTGGAAAAATCGTAAAAATAGTGACTTAAAACTGTCTAAATTATGTTTCGTACTCCTAAACGTGGTAAATTAACAAATAGTAGTGATGATCATGTGAATATAACACCGCCGAATAGAGTATTGAAGCCTAAAATATTAAATTCCTTGGACAAAGGACCGGTTAACGGTAGCTCTAGTCCAGGAACAGAAAATTCAGTTCTTTCGCCTGGCGAAACTAGGAGAGGCCGTCCGAGGGCCGAAATGTTAAATACTCTTATTCTAGAAGGATCTACCTCTCCGAGTTCTATAAAATGTACGTATTGTAACCGAGTTTTTCCTCGGGAAAAGTCTCTACAAGCACACCTAAGAACCCACACTGGTAAGTTATATTTCAGTTTGTTTTTCGTAAATTCAGTTAACTCTAACCAGGTGAAAGGCCCTATGAATGCGATTATCCGCGATGCACAAGAAAATTTGCACAATCGGGACAATTAAAAACACACCAAAGATTACACACAGGTGAAAAACCCTTCATATGTTCCTCTCCCAATTGTGACAAACGCTTCACTCACGCCAACCGACATTGCCCTGAACATCCTGATAAACAATTAAAACGGTTTACTTCACCTGGAAGCAGCTTTGAGAAGAAATTTGATGAAGGTCACAACGCTGAGGTCAAGCAGTGGCTAATGAAACTGGAAAAGTTAGTATGGCCCAAACTCTGACTCCTCTTTAATTCTGGTTTTTCAGACGCAATAATAAGAGGCCAAGCAGCTTAGATAGCCTCGAGACTACACCAAAAAAATCGCGGATTAAACGTGAAGTCTCATCATCTTACAAAAATATTTCAGAGTCAACTTACAGCCTATCAAATGACGGAATTGAAAACTCTCCGAAATCAGAAATTGATGACAATATTTCAGTAAATTCAGAAAACTTTGAAAATGGACACGATCTAGTCTCACCACCTAGATCCTCACTCCACAATTTTGAGCTGCCAAAAGGGCCGAAAAAACGATGGTTGCAAGCCGTTCAAGACCAGAAAATGTTTGACTCTACTCAAGAACTCGCTAGGCCAATCAATTGGGGTGAAGACGGCCCGAGTTCAGATGGTGATGAAGTTAAAATTGAACCAATCACTCTTGCCGAGTATGGGGCCAATGAACCGAAAATTGTTATGGAGAATCAAAAACGTCCAACTGTTTTGGTTTGTGTTCAAGGGGGCAAAAGCAAACAAATTACCAGTGATGATATGCAAGGTGCTATAGCTTTGGTTGAGTTGAAAAATGGACAAAAAAGTTGTGTTAACTATAACTACAGACTCTAAACATATGTTATATTTTTTAAATGATATTTGTATGTGATACATTGTTCAAATATTTGTCTTTATTTTTCAGTTTTTTACGATTTGGGCTGATCTTTAAGGTCGCAGTTTTCTGTTTATGCTTAGGCTCTGAAGTTAAGGATATCAGGTTACAAGAATTACTTTTTATTTTATTTGTTATGTATGTTATTGTGTTCATGTTCATTACTTACGTATTATGTTTTATCATGTTGCACAGTAATTTTAAGAAATGCACATTTTAGCACACGTTTTAATTTAGTACAATTGACAGGTTTTGATCAGTCAGTACAAAGACATGATTATTTCAATTCTAATAATCCAAAGAGTTTTTGTATTAGCATCATTGTATGCGTATCTTGGGACTTTTCTATTGTCACATCAGACAAATATGTGTGTTTCAACTGAATTCTATTTATTTCATAGCGAAAAATAATTACGTAAAATAACACTGGCGATAGAAAGGTCACGTGGCATAGTTTAGTTTCAATCCTTAACTTGAAAGTATCATTATTTATACCTAAATTTAATGTATATGTGATGTGTTTTTATCTAAAGTTATCTTTATATTGTAAGTATTTATTAATGATTTAGGTAATATAATACCACTTATAATAAATAAAAAGTAATAATATAAATTCTGCATTTTTTCACTAAATTCCGATTTGGGGTTGTGTCAAAGGACCAGACTTTAAAATTTAAATAGGAGGGTTTTTAAATATTTAAAAGTCTCATGATTATGTTGTATTGGTGGGGATTTAAATTTGTTCTAGTGGCAGCACTGGTTGCATAACTTCACTTATTGTTGTTGATTTTTGTGACATGTTTATGTTTCAACGTTCAATTATAAGAAATAACAAATAAGCATGTGACAATAATTTTGTGTTTAAAACAAAATTCAAATAGGAAAATCCCACGATTATGTCATTTTGGTGGGGATTAAATTTGTTTTGGTGGCAGCACTGGTTGCATAACTTCACTTGTTAATTTTGTGACATATGTTTATGTTTTGAGAGATTGAGGGTATAAAAAACCCTTGAATGTTTATAATAAAAGCATGTGACAATAATTTTTTGTTTAAAACAAATATGACTTTAAGTTAGATAATTTCAAGTTGGTGTTAATTACTCATTATGTCAAATTTAGCTGCAAAAACAAGCAATAATGAGGACAAAATTGAAGAATACATTTGGGAAAACTTCGAAAACTGGATTCAGTGTATTTGCATTGTTAATTTTGATTTAGAATTGGGACAAGCCTTAGAGGTAATAAATCCACTTGGAGACACTTAACCTAAATGTCTATTTCAGGGAATTTATCCGCGACATGTCACTCTAACCAAGCAGGAAATTTCAAATATCTGCTACTTGGCGTTTCCAGACTCCAATTCTGGATGTATGGGGGATACCACGTTCATTATCAGACTTCCAAACAGTCCTGGAAAAAACACGCGCCGGGAAGAACACTTGCAATACAACAAAAAATGTGCCCCCAATTTACAAATACACTCATCTTATTACTGGGGCTATGTTTATTTTAGACAAGTTAAGGATGTTTCGTTACCTAGAGGCTACTTCCAAAAGGTACAATGTAATATTATCGACACAAATAACAGTAATTTTTTAGAGCGTTGTTATATTAACCCGACTACCTTTCAACAACTTATTCATGAAAATTTGTGATTTATTAGCACCTGAATATTTTGAACACGGTGAACTTAGTTTGGAAGCTGCTTGTTGTAATATAGAGCGGTGGCCTCCTCCATCTCCCGGGGTAATGCTCAATCTTCCATTGTTAGGTTTAGTTTTTCAAGTAAGTGTTGATATTTGTTAAGGTTTGTTTAATTGGGAAATTATTCAAGGTCTATATTCCTCAGTCCAACAGCAATTCCCCTAACTGGCAACTGGCCGCGTTAACAGAACCGACTGAAAATCAGATTCAGACTTCTGTTGAAGATTTAAACTATTTTGAGATTTTGCAGCCAGTCTTGTCACATATCCACCTATTGTGGGAATTGATCCTCACGTCAGAGCCTCTGGTGATAATGGCGACGTCTCCCACTCATTGTTCTTCGATGGTGTTAGCTTTAACAAGGTAAACTATAAAGCGTTAAGGTTGTAAATAATCTCATGCTTGTAGAATAATTTCTCCACTGAAATTCTGTGGTGACTACCGGCCCTATTTTACAATTCACGATAGCGAATTCAAGCAAATTACGAGTAAAGTACAAGGACCCCCGCCTGTAATTTTAGGGGTAACGAACCCGTTTTTCGGTAAAATTCTCCATCACTGGCCTCATACGATACGATTAGGGAATGATTTAGGTAGGTGATAATTGTTTTTTTAAATAATAATTGAAGACATTGAAGGGCCAAGTCAAAAATTCAAGCTTAAAAAGAACGTCAACTCAAAAATGTTAGATAATAGTCCTGGGATATACACAGTGTACAAGCCGTTCTTGCAGAAAGATAAAAATATTATAAAAAAATTGATTTCGGGAGTGACTTCAAGACGGCCGTTTGAAGTTCAGTCGGCCTTATTAAGAAGACATCTTCTCGAGCTCACGCAAAGCTTTATTATACCGTTAGAAAGATATATTGCTAGTTTAATGCCACTACAAAAAAACATATCACCTTTTAAGGTAAGGGGAGTTTGGCTGCCCTAAGCTAAAACACAGTAATTGCTTTTGAATTATGTTTTACTGAACCCAAAAACGACTTATTTAAACAGCACTTTCGAACGACTTGCTACTTAACTTAAAGATATTGTTTTTAAGGACAATTTATATAAAAGCCTCTAAAACATAATGAAAAATTTATAGTGGCAGATACTGTGTTTTTGTATTAATTTATTTTTTATTAATTCCACTCATCTCTTAAATTAAACTAAAGTAAATATAATTTCAAGCAGTTTTCAGTATAAAAACAATGGGTTATGTAATTTTAATTTTTCAAAAAAATTCACATTTTTGGATAAAAAGTATATTTTTATTTCAAAATAAAGTTCGAATTGCTATTAGGAGACATGGAACACAATATCTGTCAAATGTTCGCCTGTTTTTTGGCAGGTGAGCATTCCTTTATGGAAGTTTTAGGCTACATTTTCACATGAAGAACAAAAGACAAAATGTTTTTATCATTTTGGGTAGGTGTCGGCTTCACAGTTCTTCCCGTTTTAGTTTTGTAATTTTTTAAAAAGTGTCACAGGAATTACGAGTTAATTCTTCACTTTGGTTCAAATAATTTCAAGTAATTTGGTTCCAAATAAAATTTAATAATTTTTGTGATAATTTTTTAATACAAATTTAGGCTGATGATGACAATTGATTGCCGAAACATGTTTCCACGAAGATAAATTATATTTTTTTTTACAATTCGGGAAGCAATTTTGTTAACTTCAACCCTTCAATTTTAAAAGAAAACAACTATTCTGCAGATTTGACCTTAGTAAAAATAAACTAACAACTAAAAGTTTGATTAAGACTTCTTGCTTATATTGTTATGTAAATTTATGTTATTATTATCAAATTATAAAAAATATAGTTTCTTACACCTATTTGAGTTATTTTTAATTAAAAAAGGGAGTACAATCGACCGTGTCTAATTTTGCGCTTTAGTTATTGTATTGTAAAAACAATTTTGTTTATTAATTTTAAACAAATAATTAATTAATTACTTTTTAACAATTAATTTTAAACAAACAAACTAATGAGTATTTATAGGAATGTAAGTGTGAAAATAAACTAAAACATGTAAAAAACTTATTTTTAAAAAATTTGTTGGTTACTGTGTTTTTGCTTGGGACAGTTGCAGTTAGGTGTAGGGAAGAAACGTTAGTTGTTTTTGTAGGCAGCCCCAACTCCTCTGCCTTTTAATCCCGACGATTTTATAGCCACTTTAGAGACAGCTGGGCCTCAACTTACAACAGGGATTAAGGGCGATTGGATTGGCTTGTACCGAAAATTTTTTAGATCACCCAATTTCAACGGGTGGTTTAATATGAGGTATACAGATTTGGCGTTGAAATTGCAAGCCTTACATCTTGAAGCGCTTTCCAATGCTGTAGGTATCTCTTTCGTTGCAGCGTTTTGTTTTATTTTCTTTTATTTTATTTCAGGATTTGAAAGACTGGGTACAGGGTAAACCAGAAGTTGAAGTTGTTGACATGATGTTAAAAATTAGAGACAAAATAACAAAATGTCGCGAAATTAACATACCCGTTGACGATAAAGTAAAAGAAAAGTTAAATCAAAGACTACAAGATATTATTAGCTCTCTCCCTGATGATTTGAAAAATGTTTTTCAAGTTACATGATGCAAATTATTTTTCCCAGTCGATAAATATGTACATAATTAGTATATTATTTTGTTTTAATTAAAACAGACTTAGACTACGATAATTTCCATTATGTAACTGCTTTTGCAATTCAAGTTACAACTATATAGGGAGAATTTGTTGGTTTGTATTATAAGTAATTTGTGTGGCATTCAAAAACTGTTGGATGTTGCATTATTTTTTTACTGTTTTTATATACAATCCAAATTTTATAACTTGTTGATCAAAAAAAGAAACAAACTAGTAAATATGTTCCTGCTTCATCTTGCATTTAACGTTTCTAGTGTGAAGAACAAATTCAAATTGTAACTGTTGGTGCAAATTTGTAAATTAAATGGATTCTTATCTCAGGGTTTGCGCAACAGTTTTAAATTTAATTAAGAATGTGCCAAAATGGCCTTAACTGCCAGTCAATTTCCATCCGATTATAAATGTGAGATATATCTGAATTAGGGTTCAATGAAGTTTTAAATGTAAGTCCCTTTCTGTCAATTATGTTTAATAGTTTAGAAAAGAATTATTATAATGTATAGATCACGTAGACGGTTTTGGTTAATTACCAAAAAATAACAGCCTTAATTAACAGCAATAAACAAATTTTTCAAAAAAGTTTATTTACTTCCAGTTTTTAAACGTAATCATGAGGCCAAGATGTGAAACTGTTATTTTTCGCCGTAGACGCATTTTGCACGCTGCAGTAAAGTAGTACTAACGTAATTTATAATGTAGTTGAATTTTAGAGGTACTGGACATTTGATTTATTCGCTCATTTTTAAATGTCCATTCATTAAGTTGTGAATATTGGTGGTAACATACATATAGTTTTGATATTTTTATAAATGGTTCATTTTTTATTATTGTATATAACATTTTAGTTCAGCAACCAACCAACAAAAAATAGCCACTAGTATTTATTTATGTTACAGAATACAATGATACATGTTTTGATGTAAACAATATTGCTATTGTAATTATTTGTAATATTATTTGATCAGTAAAAACTATAAAAAGGTTTTTCGTGTAATTAGTAATATTTTTTATCCCAATTCTCACATATTACACATTTCATTTTCCGTGATATTGTTCGAAAATCTACCCTTAATAAGTTGTTTCGTCACCTACAGTCTCCTCTTATAAAAACGGAAATAGAAATGTTTTAGTGTTTCCCGAACGGATGTGATGATTGTTAAACTCCTTGTATGCGTTTTGATATTTACTGAAGGGTTTCTTTAATTAATTTGTAGCGAGGAGGTTGCGGAGGTTTTCATTATAAAAACTAAACATTATTCTTATAACTACACCATTCAACCAGAAACCTTCGACAATACGCTGTACTTTATAACACAATCTATTTATCTCGCAAGGAAAAATGTTTCGAGTCTTTCTAATAGTGGTTTTAATTGTTTTCGCGGGGGTGTGCACCGCTCAGTTAAATTTTTCCACGGATTGGGGAAAACGCTCGGGTTCCTCAACAACTCCAGAAGCGAACAACTGCAAAGAATCCGTCGAGACTGTAATGCTAATATATAAAATAATCCAAGTAAGTTTATTCAATGTTGTGATTTGTGGCAACAGCATTTTTTACAGAACGAGGCCCAGAAGTTAATCGAATGTGGAAAATACGCCAAATGAAAATACCGATTGGACTGGAATACCTACTAATTGTTTTATTACCCGTGGCCCCTTTTTTTGTGTTTGTTTCATTTAAAAAGTATTGTAATTTGTGGCTACCAATAAAAATGTAAGCAGCACCACCATTGTTTCAGTGTCATGACATGGGATTAAAACACAAGTCATACATGAAAAAATAATAAAAAGTAGTTGGGTACGTTTCAGTTTTAAACAATATCAAAAACCCGTATTTCAAAAAACAATTTTTTATATTGTTTTATTGATTGTATACGTTACCATCTAGTAATAGAATAAAAATAAAATTATTACCCAAGTTTATATATTTCTCAAGTACAAACAATATTTACTAATAAAGTTATATTAAATTGCCGTTCTATATCGTATTTTCTACTAACTGAAAAAACAAAAGAAGTTTGCATTTTCGGTACCTGTGTTATTAGTTGCATACACAAATTTTGATAGATAAATAAATGATACTAAGGGGTCAAGAATACTGTTATTTCATGATTTAGCATATATTTATCATTATAAGCCCATCTTTTGGGGTTTAACCTTGATCTGCATTGACATAGTTGCTAATTTATGTATAATTAAAACAAATGTTTAAACCAAAATTGTTATTTCAAGGTTTGAAAAAAATGTCCACAATTAGAACTTTGTACGTCCTTGTTTATAATTTAATATGTATTTTAATGTGCACAGCATAGTGCGCAGTCATTAACAAATAAGAAAATAATAATAATTAAAGGTGAAAGTCTCACAATTTTGATGACAATCAAGACACTTGAGTGAAACTCAACCAATCAGAATCGATCTTTCAACAAGTGTCAAAGTTGACTTTCAACTGTTTTTATCAAATCAACAAACGGCGAGTTGTAGAAAATAATAATTTGCGTCAGTGGACCATTGTGACGGTTACAGTTCCATATTTTGTGTGAAATTTATCCAAAAATTGAGAAAATGGGTCGCGTATTCGTTGTAGGAGTTGGAATGACAAAAGTAAGTACTCGATAACCTCAAATCCATTTACATTTTTCCATAAAACAGTTTGAAAAACCTGGAAAACGTAACGACGATTATCCAGGATTCGCCAAAGAAGCTATCCTGAAAGCCCTTGATGACTGTGGCGTTAAAATCTCTGAGGTTGAGGCAGCAGCCTGTGGATACGTCTATGGTGGGTTGCAAATTGTAAAAACTGGGGTTGCATTGTGACTTTCAGGCGACTCAACCAGCGGTCAACGAGCCGTTTATGAGGTTGGAATGACCGGCATTCCAATTTTCAATGTGAACAATAATTGCTCAACAGGGTCGACGGCTTTACTTCTGGCTAAAGAGTTCGTAGAATCAGGGAAACATGACTGTGTCTTGGCTGTGGGTTTTGAGAAAATGGAACGGGGGAGTTTGTCGGCGAAAGTAATTGTTTCAATTTCAAGTCGGCGTGGAATTTAATCGATTTATAGTTTTTAGATCGCACAAACCCGTTAGATAAGCACGTAGAGGTGATGGCAGAGTTGACCGAGATGAATGAGGCTCCGATAACCGCCCAAATGTTTGGAAATGCCGGAATCGAACACATGAAGAAGTTTGGGACCAAACCGGAGCATTTCGCGAAAATCGCATACAAGAACCACAAACATTCCGTTAATAATCCGTATGATGTGATACAATTCGTGAAGTGTTTATTTTTATGGAAATTTTAGGTATTCGCAATTCCGGGAGGAATATTCCTTGGATCAGATCAAAAATTCCCCTGCTGTTTTTGGTCCATTAACTAAACTTCAGTGTTGTCCCACAAGCGACGGTGGAGCTGCTGCTGTAGTAGTCTCAGAGCGTTTTGTCCGAAGCCATGGTTTGGAAGGCCAAGCTGTTGAAATTCTCGGCATGGAAATGGCCACTGATTTACCCTCAACTTTCGCCGACAACAGCTGCATTAAATTAGTACGTTATCTGTGATTATTATGAAAAAATTGTTTTGTATTGATAACAATATCTGTGAATTTATTTATAGATTGGCTATGACATGACAAAAACAGCGGCCGATCGTCTATTCCGCAAAACAAATACAAATCCATCCGATGTCCAAGTTGTTGAACTCCACGACTGTTTCTCTGCTAATGAATTAATTACGTATGAAGCACTCGGTTTGTGTCCTCTTGGCAAAGCTGGAGAATTCATCGACCGTGGTGATAATACCTATGGTGGCAAATATGTTGTCAATCCTAGTGGTGGTTTAATTTCCAAGGGCCACCCTCTGGGGGCTACTGGCTTAGCGCAATGTGCCGAATTGTGTTGGCAATTGAGAGGCGATGCTGGCGCAAGACAAGTTCCTAATGTAAAGTTGGCGTTGCAGCACAATATTGGATTAGGTGGCGCTGTTGTTGTCGGTTTATATCGTTTGGGATTCCCCGAGTATAAGAATCGCAGAGTTGGGGTGAGGAAAGTGGCAGGAGGCCTAAAAGAAAGCGATTTTGCTGTTGCGCCCTATTTGAGACTATTGGAACAAGCGATGTCGGAAGATAAGGATAATTTGATCGAGAAACATAAGGGTATTTATGGGTTTAAGGTCAAGAAGTCTAATGGCGAGGAGGGATACTGGGTTATCAATGTCAAAGTGGGGAAAGGCAGTATTGAATTAAATTCAAAACGTAAGCAACCAAATTTGTTTTTCATTTTTTTACTATGTAATATTTATTCTTAAACGAATTAATTATTGTTTTTGTTTAAATTACGTGTCGGACAATAGTTGTATTTATGCGATACTTTTTGTAGTGAAACCCGACGTCACGTTAATTGTGAACGACAGTGATATTGTGGATTTGCTAACAGGAAAATTAAATCCACAGAAGGCTTTCTTTCAAGGCAAAGTCAAAATCCAGGGCAATATGGGTTTAGCTTTAAAACTGGCCGAGTTGCAACGTACTGCGGCAAGTCACATCGCAGATATTCGTGCAAAATTGTAAATTTTTAATATTTTTATATTCTATGGTAATTGTTATCAGTTATATTTTGAATTAATTATGGTAACGGACTGATGGTTCAGGTGTTGACTTTTTTATTGAATAAACAATGGTTACAATATTTGAGTTTTATTTAATTAAAATTACGTATACTTAACACACAGTTAAAAAAAATTGTTGAATTAAATAGAATAGAATAGACACCAGTAAGTTTGACTATATTATTATTTATTATCGAACGTTGCAACTTTAGTTACTATTTCTTGACAGTAAATTGACAAAAATTGTTGTCAGAATCTAAAAACAGTCAAATTACATTTTTGATAATGAGAAAATAGTAAACTGTCTAAATTCCGCAGTTTAGATCTTTGCTAGTTTTGCTTTTGGTTACTAGAGGGCACTCGTAATTTATTCTCCTATTTTTGTTTCATTCGACTTTTAAATTATTAAAGTTTGTTTACAGTTCAGTAAGATTTTGATGTTGTTTTTATTTTTTGTTGTTTGAAAATAGTGTACTTTCATTAAAGGAAATAAGAATGCAAGATGTTGCAAAGTGAAGACTGAAGAGTCAAGACCAATCACGGTTTGCCCTCATGACATAGATTCTTGCAATGACCTGTCGTCTCGCAGACGTGGGTCAATGGCGGCTTTTCTTTTATTTGTAAATTGTAAAGTGTGGAGTAATTAATGGCGTGTATTATTATCCGAAGTACTCTAGCGTGGCGCCTAGCCGCCGACAGCAGACGATGAGATTTAAAATTTTTTACGATAATTCAATTTGTTTCGTTTTGTTGTTGTTGTTAGATAATCGGAAAAAGTACATAATGGGAAATGTCAAAGTCACGAAACCGACATAACCGACAGTTTTTTAGTACTTTTAATGAACAAACGAGTTACTCGACAATCATAAACCTTACACTTTTATTTACCAATGCGTAAAATAAAAACTAAGGGAAATGAATGCAATTACAGATAAAAGTCCAGTTAAGTATTCATGGAGGGCAATGAATAAAAACAATGATGAAGCAGACGACATTTGTCTTATTGTTGTATGACTTCGTAATTTGGTTGTATTGATTGTGACACTTTCCCGTCGCACCCATCATTTTTTTTTTGCATTTCTGTGATGAAAGAGTGGCTGCAGTTTTAATATTTTTATCACTTGGTGTAAATTTACCTCGTTGAAACTCACCCACTAATAAATTTATCGTACCTTTCAAGTTTGATACAACTTTAACTGTTAAATTAAACTGAGAGAACGTAAAGCCAATAAAACACGGCTTTCTCAAGAGTTTTAGCTGTACGTGAATGTGTAAAACTATAAAGTGGTTTAGTGAAAAGCAGAATCGCAAAATTTTGATTCCGCTAGGTTTATCCATTAAAATAATTGAAATTGCAATATTATTGTCACTGGAATGAATTGTTACACGACCTCGTCAGTAATTTTGCCTATAGTTTATTTCATTTCTATTGCGCAAGTAACGTTTTTGTGCCAGTGTCACGTTGCTTAAACTATAATTTTACTAAGATCATTAATGCTGTAAAATTATCTATGAAGTAAATTACACGAGCTTTCAAAGATTTTTTTAGTTCGACCGAAGAAGGTACTGTTTTTGATGATGGGAATATGTAGTGAGTTATAACTGTGGATGAGACAGCATTGAGAGAATTACACTAATCAAATGTCTCAAGAAATTGGCGAGTCCTTATCTTGTGTTTTTCTCGAGCTTGTTCAAAAAATAGAACAATTTATTTGATATGTAGTTTAATTAAGTTAAAACAATTTCGCTTTAGCTGTTTTCGTCGTTGAATATAAACAAAAAAATGCATGGTCACGTAGTGGTAATGGATGTGTTCTTGTCGAAATAAATAGCGAATGCCGTACTTGTCACAAAAATAAAATCCTATGGGAGTCAAAGTGAAAAATTTTTGATAGATGAGTGAATTTATTGATGGCTATGTGATTGATGTTTTTTTAGTTAGTAAGAGTCATTGCAGGATAAAACAACAATTAGGAAATGATTAATAAAGAACAGATAAAAAATTATGTCACGGCTCTACGAGTTTTAATTAAAATTAAAAAGTGGCTGTAATTGCGGGAAAAATGTCTACAATTAATCTTCCTAGTGGTGACAAATTGGTAGTAGTGATGTGTTTTGTAATGAATTCGGGCAATGTGTACGAAAATCTTTGATAATTTCCAAAAATAAAAGTGACGATTGAGAGTGAATCTCCCATATCCGTCCATGCAACCCAGATTTGGCGAGATGGTTCACATAGGAAGAAAAATCGGTTTAGTAATTAAAAAACCTTGCAACATTTCAATGTCCGAATAATTGCTACAAGTTGGTTTGAGTTTCGTAAGTCTTTTATTGTTACGGATTTGATTAAGCAAGACTGTTAAAATTTACACCTAGCATCTTTTCTGTTTTTTTTCACGGTGTTTGAACTTGCTCGAAGATAGGTAAATTGTTATGTCAAGAAGATTTCGCCTAAATTTGCATAGATCCTGTGAAGTGTGTCGTAGAATTTGCAATACAAATGGAAACGGCTAAATAAAGAGGTGGGTTGAGGATAACGTAGTGAATAAATTCTTTCTTCGTGACATACACTCTGCAAGATGATTTCTCATGACCACACCATTAACAAATCGAGTACGAATCCGGTGTGGAACTCGAATAGACTCGAATAACCTGCATGGGAGAAAGCGGAACCTTGAACAACAACCATGTTGAACTTGACTTTGTAGCCTCCTGCCTCTTGCATTCTTTAGTTGAAGAGGCGTGTTTCTCGCTTATTTTAGTAGATTCGTATCAGACATTTCGTTCTGACCAACCTTTGAAAACATGGAAAATGTAAATGACGACACTCTCCACCGGAAGTCTACAAATTAATTAAACCGCTTGCAAAAGCTTAACGAACTTTTCCGACATTTATTTTATTACCAAATTCTGAAGCAAATCTGTATATATTTAGGTTGAGTTAACTTTATTTTTCCACGTTTAACCACGATTCTACGAATCCCTGAACAAAATGTAATTAGACAACCAAGAACAACCTCCCTTTGGGGATTTACGCTAAAATAAATAAAATAATGCGGATACACTTTTCTGATTTTCCCATTTTAAGAGCATGATCCTCCTTAATTGTTACGGTTTTTAATAAAAATTACAATCTTTTGGTGAAAACAGAAAAATACAAGCCAGTGTACACTTACCTGCTGTCATAGTGCCTAAATCGTAACTTTAGATTTCACAATAAATAAATTTTTGACGAAATTTAATAACCAATAAGTGCTAATTTTCATTTCACGACAGACGGATTTAGACAAAAGCTGAAGAAATATCTACATTTCGAAACTGATTTTGCTATTAAATCAAGCAAGAACAAGCAAGTTTTTTGCTAAAAATGGCCTATATCTAATAAAAAGTCAAAAAAGAATATTTTTTACATTAACATAGTTTTGTTAAAAAACTAAATAAAAATTTCTAATTTTGGAACGTTGCAATGTAACTCAAAAAAACCTTAAAATAAAACAATTTTCTTTATATTTTCAAAAAACATTTTAAACTGAATGAAACAAGCTGAAATAGCACGTTTTAGTCATTTTTACGACTTGTTACATTTATTTAACATTATTTAAATTAGATTAATTTTTGTCAAAAACGTAACAAGCTGAAGGCGGCTGAAAGAATACATTTATTGAGTACCTAAGTATTAGCTACTCGTAATAAAGATAGTAGGGAATGAATTCTCTACGCTGTTCTAAGTATGACTTTCTTCCTAAGTACATAATTACATCTAAGCAAAGTATAAACAACGAAGAGTAGCAATTGAAGTTTTTATAGTCTCGTCTTGGTTAGATAATTTAATTTCGTTACATATGAATTCAATTATACTCATTTTGTATAACGTTTAGTAGAAAATTGTTACATTTGCATGAATATCTTAAAGAAAAATTAAGCAACAAAATGTTGTAATAATATTCACGAAATACGAATTATTAGCATCGTTTAAGGGCAAAATAAATTTACGATTCTGAAGATGGAAGTCTACCACGCGTTTTACAGCAATTACGATCTTGCAAAAAGTAACACAATTCTATTCAACTGGAACTAAATGTTTACTTTTTATGTCTGCATCCAAAATTGTGTAAAATGCTACTGAAATTTAGAATTTAAATGAATGCTTAAATAGAAACAAAAGTGAACAGTTTTTGTTTATGTTTAATATTTAACTAATAACTTTTATGATTTGTTAGCATTTTTACTTTAGGGGTTATAGAGTTCACATAAGGGGCCAATCGGAGTTGTTATGACTAACAAAAAGTGAAAGACGCGTTTCTTAAAATATGAAGAAATTTTTTTCAGCTTTCGGTTTCACCGGATGTAATTCGAACTTTTTAGTTTTATATGGGGCAGGTTGTAAATTCACTGTAAAATACAAAATTCGTTTTATTACTTTGCATACTTTTTCTGAGTATTGAGTCTAAATGTCTCGAATGATCAATGAATTTGATTTTTTCGCCCGGGGCAAATTTCGTCTTGACATTACTTGTTACAATTTCTCTAATGTGTGGGATTTACGTCATGGAAAAAGATCATTTTTTTGATAGCCGGTAGTTTGGTAGAAAGACGACACGTGTTGGTCAGAATTTTGATGGGCAGAGAAGAAAGCTTGTGGTACCCTTGAGGTAAATACCATGTCTGGTCAGAGATGAGAGAAAGTAATGTATGCCTTGAACGTGTCACACTTGGAGCAAAGTGGCTTATTTTTAAACAAATCGTCATTGATTTAATTGATTTCCATTTCAGTGGCAATGGTATGTGAAGATCAAGCCCAAGTACCAGAAAATTAGTGCTAAAATACAAAGAGTATACAAGATGTTTGTTCTGTTCATGTTCACTTTCAATGAACTTTTAAAATTTCATACGGAGACATTGCTAATACACTACTAACTGGAAAATACCGTAATGGTGATTAAACATTTCGTAATTTGAATTTTCACTTTACTAGGTGTCAATTACCATATCCGGTTCCTTTATTATTATTGAGAGAATTTATTTTAGATTATACATTAATTAAAATAAAAAAGATTTAAGTTATACGAAGTTTAGAACAATGGTTTTAACACAATTACTTTAGAATAATTAGGTATCATAGACTGTTTCGCTTTGTAGTTTTTTTTCGCTGTCATATCAACTACTATTTTGGAAGGTGTAATGGCAGTACAATACCAATTTTACTTAATTGATTACATGCCCTAATAAGCATGTGTCTTTAATTCAATTACAGAACGATTGATGTTAGTTCTAATTTAATTTTGTTCTTAATTGGCGAAAAAATACCGTAAGGGTCAACTAACAGCAAAAAAAATCCATTGTTTCATTCCAAAAAATTCATTTCAGAGTTAAAAATATTTTAAATTGTCGAGATGAAGATAATTACAGGTCGGACTACTACCACTGATATCTCATCTCATCTCAGAGATGAGATTAATTTCTATCTAGATTTAAATACGAGACGTTAAACGAGGGTCCTCACAAAATTTAAAACAAATAAAATTGGAACTGCAGGCTTTAAAAACTAATATTTACTTACTAAATATTCTTATTTTATCGTTAAAATGAAGCAATTTGCAACTACATATTATTTTCGACTGTTTACTGTCATTATTTCAACAGTGATAACAGCGCGTTTATTAAACAATATTCCACTCATGAACGTCCATAAATTTGCATTATGTTTTTTCATCATTGGGTGGTTTTGGTAAATATTTCTATAATATTTTTTCAACTTTGTAAGGTAATAAATTTTTTTTTTTTTCAAGGTAATTTATTTTGTTTCGTGCAAAAAACCGGCATTAATATTACGACAATTATTGTAAACTTCCTCAACTGTTCTTGTTGAAAGAAAAATAACATTCAATTTTATTTAATTAAATCATTTTATTGAATCATTCTGCTGATCTGAGATTATTTAACCATAAATGACAGCTTTAATTAAAATTTAATGAAATTGAAATTTTATTTTGTATTAAAATCTTTTCTCAAAATTTAATGCTTTTTGGGTCATTATGAAGAAAATCATCCACGCTTTTAAATTCTCGAATTTCCAGTTTTTACTTTTCATGGGTAATATACCAAAAGCAATTACCAATGGTAATCATAAATAACAAGTTGATTAGGAGAATATGTCCCAGTTTGTATTTTCACTTTTCTACAAATTTGTTTAGCGGTTATGCCACAAAATATAACTTTTGGAACTTTTATTTACACTTTATTATCTTATGGATTTGTTTTAAAAAATTTTAATATAAACTTTCGTCTATTTAAATAGTCAATAGATAAGAAGTACAAACGTAAAAGTTTGTCTGGTATGTATAAGTATTTGTCGACAATTTTTTAAAACTCTTGAGTGAAATCTATTTACAGGAACAAAGACAATATTATTGTACACGCCAAGTTTTTACCTTTTTAAAAATGTATGTTTATTGAGTGATTTTCTTTGAAGTCAATAAAGATTCCCATTTTGGTGGGAATTAAAGCAATTAATTAGTGCTTTTTATATATGTATTAAACTTTTTCCAAAAGCAGGAATCACTCTTTTAATTTGCAATAATGTTTTCAAATGATTTGCGATATGTTCATTGGCCAATTAACTTTTTAATTGAAAGCTAACAATTTTTTGTAATTAAACGACATCGCAGAAAAAATAAACAATTAGCTTTAATGTAGGTATAAAACGCTATTTATTTTGTCAATGTATACAGCAACCATTGACGCTTGTAAAATGTGTCATTTTATTAAAAATGTTTGCGTATCATAATTAAGCATAAACTCGAATGGGATAAATTATTGTTCTCTAAATAAAATGTAATAAGCATTGCGTTGTCAATAGTTGATGATAAATGATTAACATGGAGGTGTTAATTAAATATTGAACAAATTGTTTAAAAAACGTTTATTATTATTAGTGTATGAATTATTAAAGTATTTAGGTTTGGTTGTTATGCAAGAAACTATATTAAAGTAGCTTTATATATCATAACGTTGTTAATAACTCTGGGAAGCATGAAACAAAACGCTACATATAATTGTGTGATTAACAAATTCACAAGCTACGTATTTATGCAAATGTTTCTGGTGCGATAAAAAAGTATTACTTTGAAATATTAGACTGAAATTTAGATTTAAATAGATTAAGTTAAAAAATTCGTTCGTGTAAGGAAAAGAATTAGAAAACAGAATTAAAAGGAAATTTTATGCACGACTGTATTGTGATATATTTTTATTCTACAAGAACGTTTGTGTAAGCTGGTTTACTTTGAAAATTTAAAAGTCTTTGATATTTGAAACGTGAAATGTTTGTCAAATACAATTTCAAAAATAAACTTAAACTAAGCGCGTGGCGACATGTCTTAAATATTTAAGCAATTTTCTAAGAACAACCACGAATGGTCGTTGCAGATAGTGATGCAGTTGCAGTTATTTTAGTTGTCTGGGAACAAGACGCGATGAATTTTAGAATGTATTCCATTATAATTCACGGGCAAATCACATTGCTTTGTGATACTTATTATCAGCAACTACTTTCATCATCCTACTTTCTCTGCTTACTTGTCCGTTTGGTGCAATCTTAGCTTCTTCAATGTCCCTACCTTTCCAAGCTGTGCTTCACACTTACCCACGAAGTGGGGGCTGTATCTCAACTTGTATACTGAATGTATATAACCAGCATCCTTTTTACACCGGAATTATTTTTTGAAAACGCACCGATATGCTCGCACGTTAGTTGTTAGTGTAGTATAGTGGTAGTGTGTGGTAAATTAAGGATAACACGAACATTTAAGGATTACGATGACGATACAACAGGTAAGTGATAAAGCGACTTTAATATTTTGAAACATTGTTCGCACAATGCCAATTTAATAAGCTAACTGAAGGAAATTTCAGGCCGTAGCCCTTTCGTTAGTATTTAATTAATTACATCAATTTCAACTTACCATATCATTTTCCCCTTGCAGTTTAATCCATCAACACCTTTTTTCTAAAATTAATTAAAAGTGCCAAAATTTAGTTCAGTCCTAATTGCGGAAAATAACATGTTCAATTTTTCATATTGTGAAATTATTTTTAATCAAATAACAAGATCGTTAATAGTAGGGTTGTGTTCTGCAGTAAACAGTCGATTGAATTCCTGAAACGTTCTCAATTATATACACACAATCTACAATTGAAACCAGATCAGTGGTCGTTGTACATAATAACTAGGTATTCAGTGTATGGGGAGAAACATAAGGTATTTCCCGACGATCAGCTCATTATGTCGCTTAATATGTTGCACATGGTGTTGGGCTCTCAATAATAGCATTTAACATAACCCTTAGTTGCATACCTCTCAATAGAACCCGTCACGTACTCAATTAACTTATAGCCTTTATACTACTGGCGTTTTTATAATTGATCCAATTTATCAAATAATATATACCTACAAGATTTTTACAAATATTGTAATAATTTTTTACTTAACAATTTTGTAACTTCAAATATGTAACCCATTTTTTATTTTCAGATGTTTGTTGCACTCTTGTGCTCGTTATTGGCAACGCAACAAATTGCAGCTGTCGTAAATAATTCAAAATCGGTCAGTATAGAAGAATCCAGCAACAAAACTGATAGTGTCGCAAAAATACCGGATTCAGTTTCATCAGCAAGTGAACAAGAAGCAAAGCGTCGCGACGCTCCTCCCAGTGATACATACGGCGCCCCCTTGAGTGGAGGAGGTATCGACTCGTATGTTCCTTCAGGGCCCAGTAATCCCGGCCTTCCGATTCCAGTCTATGGAGTCCCCGATGCACCCTCAAATAATATTGTTTATCCGGCACCACCACCGGACATACCTCCACCTCTCCCCCAAATATCCTCCAATTATGGCCTCCCATTTAAAACTTACGGTCCGCCACAATTAATCAATAATTTTGATTTGGGCCACTCAACTGATTTCGTACCGCCTCCACCTCCGGCAAAGTATCTTCCTCCTATAAGATCGCACAAACCCTTCAGTGCGCCCAAGCTGCCAAGGCCGCGACCGCAATATGGGCCACCACACAAACCCATTTTTGTGCCAAAATTGCCTAAACCCAACTACGGACCTCCGAAATCCTTATATGGACCTCCAAAGCAACCACTATTTGTGCCACACAAGAACAATTTTAAACAACAATCGGTTAAGATTGTTACGGTTCCGGCTAATAATTACGGAGTGCCGAATCTTGGCCATGGGCAAGAGGCGTTTGTTTCACCACCGGTAGCTATAGGACATGGGCATTATGGACCGCCTGATCCCGTTCCACATGCACCTCCTCCGGGAGTACCAGCGCCGCCGACTCCACCGGATATTAAATACGATGGATGGCAACCCATACCTGGATTGGTGTCAAGGCCGCCGGATACGTACGGAGTCCCCGAAGCTGAACATCACGGAACCGCAGACTTACAAGTGAACACTGATTTTATCCCACCACCACCAGCGGATGACGGTCACAGTTTCGCCTCACTTGGCTTAGGTTACAATCCTCCATCTCATGGAATAAGTGACTCTTACGGAGCCCCCTTAAATGCGGTTACTGGATCTGGGGCTGTTGTTAGCTCGTCTGGTGATGCACACCACGACGACGAATCCTTGTCTCTTGGTCTATCAGCAGCTGGGATTAACTCCGGCCAAAGTCATCTCTCAGTGATTAAAAGTATAGGATATGAAATTTTTCCTAACGTAGGGGGTGGCTTAAGCCACATTGATGACACCTACAGCTCACCACCACTAGATTCATACTCGCATGATGGCCCATATACTGCTGCTCACTCTCAAAAATCTAATGGGTTGTCATCAAGTTTCTCGTTTGGTGGTTCGATAAAATCGCATGGTTTGTCTGGAGGTCACGGCTTAATTCCTCCGAATGGTCTTTATGGAGCTCCTCCTAGTAGTCATTACGGAACACCGCTTTTGTCAAAACCAACTCAACAATATGGTGCTCCCTTAAACGCTCTAAAAATTAATCCGCCTAAACATCCAGTTATTTTCCGAGAACCCGTCCCTCAAGGTTTGATTCAATCAATTGGTCAACACACTGCTCACAAAGATGCTTATGGTATTATTGAAAGTACTCATTCTAGTAGTCTTTCTTCGGGACCTACTTATATTCCACCCCCAATTCCCGATGTTACAAAACCCGTAAAAGAAGAAGAACCACCATCACCTTCCAGTTTGTACAGTTTGCCTCATGCTCATTCGGCAGCTTCGTTCCAAAATGTAGCCCATGGTTCGTCGTTTGATTTCGGGTCAAGTTATTTTGGTGGTGGTCAGCATTTAACAAGCTATACAGCTCCTTTAGGTAGTATAGATGGGTCTTATGGTTTACCGATACATTCAGCTTCTGGTTATTCAGTAGCTGTAGACAATGCACCATCTGGTGGTTTGACGGTGGGTATTGATAATTCTCACCCTCCTGTGACTATTGATTTAACTTCTGCGACTAGTAATGTAGGCCCAAGCTATGCTCACTTATCTCATGGTTATGGTTACCAAAATGTTCATGATTGTAGTTTACACAAATCGCAGCCTTTACCATCATTGTCTTACGGTGTACCATCTGCTAATACTTATACAGCGTCTTTATCATCCTTGACTACTAATATAGGTGGGTCTTATCACGGTGATCTTCAAACTGCTCATTCGCAAAAAGTTTCAACCGGGGTTTCTATCAATTCTATTTATAATTCATCTCAGGAAAAAAATTATGGAAAATCGCTTGCTCAGAAATTTGGGCCTGGAGCTGAATTAATACAATCGCAAAGTCTCGACATTAATAATATTCCAGTGCAGGGATCTTTAGGTAGTTATACTTTACAAATTCAGTCAGCGGATGGTTTGAACGGTCCTCAGTCATCTTCTGGGCCTGTTTCACATGCTCAAGTTTTAAATGATGGTTTATTACAGTCAATTTTGGCCGCTATAGAGCAACCACAAAGCAAAAATAATAAAATCTTAGGGCAGCCTTTGTCAAAATTACAGCCGAGCGAGAGTTACAGCGAATCTTTTGAGTCAGATTCAGACGGGCAGCATTCCGTAACAAATGCCGTTGTCGTTCCATCACCGGTAACGGAAGCAACTTCAACAACAACGACTACACAAGAACCAGAATCTGAGTCTGAAACGGACACTTCACTCCATTTAATAGACGACAACGAGATTGCATTGTACTTCAGCAACAATTTGCAAGATGCAGAAAATGGTTCAAGAAAAAACAATACAAGTGATGGCGTGCTAAACGGTCAACAGTACGGAAGTTACGTTTCGTTTAAAACGCCAAATGCTAGTTTTGTGTATGGAAACATACCAAGTGACAAGTCGCAAGAAAGACAAGACAAGGATTAGTGTGTCGAATCTGCTCAAGAACTTTTTAGTCATGAACTGAGTTCCATTCAAATGAAGTTAAAGTGGAGTTCGGGTATTGTTATTTATGCGCGGCATAGATGCCTCCAAGGCGATCTGATATTATTAGTGATCGAAATAATTTATTGTATGTTTAATTGATAGATTAAGGAAAAAAAACTATGTACAAAAGTTTTTTAAAAACTAATAAAACATTCCTGAAAGTTTCTTGTTTAATTCAGTTGCAACACGAACTGGACATCATTTACTACTTGTCGATTTATCCTGACAGCATAGGGTGCGAAACCAATTATTGAGTGATTAGGGAGTTGAAATGGAGTCGCGTTACAACTTGAATGGATAATCCATTAGCAACTAAAGAAGATATGAGACGTTGAGTAATTTGAGTTACTTGATGAACGACTATTTGTATATTACTCACTCAAATATAAATCCTTCAAACAATATATAATTAAAATCAATTTTGCGCGAAAAGAGGACAACTAATAATCGGCAATTGTTAAATTTGATTTTCATGCTCCATCATTCAAGATAACATTTAGCAATTTCGTAAATCACGTCTTAACGAGTTTATTTCAACGATAATATTTGTTACACTGTATCCAAAATTCGAATATTAAACTCGAATCTATTTTGTTGGCTACACAAAGAACCAGAAGCGTTAATGAAAAAATCAGAATCTTGCCTTTAAACTCTATATGACGTTCTTCCATTTCTTACAATAGCAATAAATAAAATCTTCTCACACCTTGAACTAGTGAAAGAGAAATCAAAAAACTGTTTATGAAAACATCCTAAAATAGAGCATTTGTTTTAAGTGGTTTCCAATTAGTGCTTTCCATACTGCTAAATGCAAAGTTGATAATTGACCGTTGTTTAAGTGTAATTCCGAGTAGTTGTTGAGTGGTCAGTAACACTTTGACCCGGCTACTTTCTCCATTCAAAAGAACACCTACGAAATTTTCTTCAAGGCTGGCATCTTTCGCTTTGTATCATTACAACCCACTACGGCTTTTCTCACCTAAATACCATATCATATTTACCACAAATTAGCATTTATCAATTTTTCAACAATCAAATAAAAAGTGGACTTATTTATTTGTAACCTAATAAGCATAATTAAAAAAAAATTATAGAATAATTAAAATGAACCCGAACGATTTCTCCAGGATTTGAAGTTGGGTGATGACAGTTTTCCCATAGAAAATTCCAACCAACCAAGCAACGCTGAATGAATATCTTGTGAAAATTAGCAAATCACGATGAGCAACATCGGAGGATTGTAAAATTGTTGTTTTATAACGAAAGTTTTGCTTTATACTAAATTTATTATAATATCTTTATAAACTAAAATAGAACAAATTAATTTAGTAATTTATGTTGAGATTTACCGTGGCACAGAAGTTCTTGGCTTAAGTGTCAATTACCACAGAAAAGTTATCTCACATGCTTTTTAATTAACAGAGCAAGAAAACTTACAAATAATACAATAACCGTCAGTTATTTTTAATGAAAACTGGTCGTTTTTTAAAGTTTTCCACTTCCACAAATACAAGTTTGCCAAATCATAAATAGAAAAAAGTGCGAATAATTGTCGTTGATATCGTACACGAAAGCGGGGAAAATGAACGAGATATTTAAAACGTCCGTCAAGAGAATTGAAAAGCAAAAAACACAAGGGGGTTGAAGCTATAATGAGATTTTGAGGACAGCACAGAGTAAATAGGATGAAATAAATAAAATTAAAGGTAAAAATCTTGCGAAAGTTTAAAATTTGTGTTGTATCAATTCTGTGCGAATCTAATTTATTGTTGTATGTTCCCTTAAAAGCATGAAATTTATATCAGGTAGGTAACACGATATAGGGTTTATTAGGGACGAACCTAAAATGTATAATGAAATGCGGTGTAAACCTTTTTGCAGAATGGACAGAATATGGAACTATAGTTGGAACATGTATATTTACGCACGACAACAGTGCAAATGGACAATGTTAGCAGTGGACGATATTTCATTATATTAATGGCTGTACGCAGTGTCTGATGTAGACGAATTTTCAAAAAAGAAGAAACTTTTTTCGCTGTATAAATAGAAAGCGGTTGTTAAATATTCATTTATTTTCTGACACAGAATTTTAAATGAATTCTTATGGAAATAGAAAAATAAAAAGTTTGAAGTCCACAAATAGTTTATTGGCTAGATATACACAAAGTGTTCAAGAGTGACAATCGATTCATAAAATATAAATTATGTTGTAGAGGCTTCCTTTCGCGATCAAATAGAGAATTCTGTGTTGCAAATAATTGAATGGGAATATTCGAATGAGCTTGTATTTTTGTTGTTGCAAATTTAATTGCAATTTAAAATTGTTACTAATTGGATAATAACATATTGAACCTTTTCAAAGTTTTAGTATATCATAAAACGTACTCAAAGTTTCCTTTCAGTACTGAGCATGACAAATAAAATTCATTTCCCGCTCTTATTAAAGGAAACTTGCTTTTCTGAAACTCAAATTAATGGAGTCTCATTCGTTTCTATTTGTCTCATTTTAACTTTCAAGCCATTTGAGTTACATTTATAAATTACAATATACCCCAGATTTTACCTAATTTATTTGTTTTTTCCAACTGATTGATGCTTGTTTAGTTCAAATTGATTTTACCCGTTCATTTGCTTACTTCTCTCTTTCGACTAAAAAGACGCGTAAAATTACTTGCTTAATTCTTAATAACCGTTTTTAACTCAAATTCATCACGTTTCTACCAAAAAATATATAATGATCCTGTACCAAATTATCCGTGCAACGGATTACTAAACTAACTCCATTCTGAATGTGTGTGTGTAATTAAAGACAAATTACGTTCAACTAATGAATAGGATGAGGCAGTACTTCATGCTTGGCAAATTTACTTAGAGCATAATTTTCAAGTTAAATAATAATATTAAGTAGAGTGATTTGTTACGATAAGAAAATAAAACTCAAACAAACGTGACGATCTTAACATTGAAACAGAGAGTTACAGCAAATATATGCTATCAGCAAGATAAATTCGCTTTCTTGATTTTATTACATTCCACTCCATTAATTATCAGTAAGGGCAATGTAATTACCCTGAGGCGTATTTTGAAACAGCATTTAAATAAAAAAAAAAACAAACAATAAATATCAAAAAACGATAATTTAGAAATTGGAAAAGAATAATTGAAGTCTTTATGGGACAATAATAAAAAAATAATAAATTAACTGAGTAAAAAAGTAAACCAAAAGTCAAAGGAAAAAACATTACAGTGAGTCAAAAATCAAGGACTGATGGGTGAAATAGAAAGTATTGTCGCAATTGTTTTGATAAAGTTCGCACCAGTTATTAATATGCAACGGTTTACTTTCCACCTTTGTGATATCAGTAAATTTGTCATAAAAACTGAAACGAAAGTAACCGACTTTCAAAGTTGGTTATTGTTGCTATAAATAATAATGAGCCGTTTCTTACGGATGACATCATATTGAAAAATAAACAATATATTTTGAGAAATAGTTAGTTGCAAACTGATCTCAATCATTTAATATAAAGGCCAATTACTGTGTGGCCAACGAAAGTTACTAAGAATAATTTCCATTGTAAATATTTGGTTTATTAGAAATATTGTTTCGAAACAAAATGTGTCGGTGTGAATCTGAGTTTGTAATCTGTAGTATAAGTTTTTGAAATAGTTTAACTCTCTTTAACCCGCAGCAAGGTGTATCGCTCTACTTTTGATATTTACTAGCATAAATAACACGACACAATTTAAGAAATTGGTCTTGTTAATCGAAAGTTTGATTTAATGACACATTCATATCTGCCGTCTTATCGGAAGACTTTCTCTGATGTTGATCATGCTTTGGACAATCTCATGGGCCAATGCCAATGTCACTGTTACATTTCGGTAAATTTCAGAAACCAAATTTCAAAAATAGTTGTTGCAAATTTTTTTGACAAAATGAAAAGGAACAACAAATAACAAAATAATAATATTAATAGTGATGAGATGATAATGAACATGAAGGAAAAATATGTTAGTGTTTATACGAAAAAAGGGAAAGCGGCTGAATTGTAATTGATAAATTAACTGAAAGCAGTTTAATTAGTTTGTGATTTAATCGATAAAATATAGGATTAGATGCATAAAGATGTTTAATAATTCTAGTCACTTGGGTTTTGTAGTTTTCCGTATTTCTGAAGAAGGGGCTAACTTAACCACATCATACGTGCCCAGCAGTACAAATTCTTCTATCACCAGTCGGCCACTTTGCTTTTCCACGTTTGTTTCAAAGGTTATTTTACGATTTTACGTAATAAAAAAATTAATGCACGAAGTCAATACTAATCTAATAACGAATGTGTTTATTAACACATTGGATAGATAAATGAGCATATTATTTAGACATTGTTGTAATTGGGTTTAAAACTTATAGATTATTAATTGTAGTAATCGAATAATCAGTATTATCATTTATTATTTGTTATTTATAGAGAGAAATATCCTATTACATAAAAATGTAGATTTATCAAAATTTTAAGTGTCGAAAGCAACGAAATATTTTACATTGCGTACGTGATCAGATTTTTCTAAGCCAACACAAAATAAGAATAAACAATGTCAGCTTAAAATAGTCTGCTTTATTCTATTATTTAATTTAAAGCAAATACATTTTAGGAATGTGGTAATAAAACGAACTGCTACAAACATATTTATTTATGCTGATCTAAAATAACGTATGTAAGTGTGAAATAATGTTATTATTATAACTACATACTATTGTAATATTAAATAAAATGTTATTACACTATTATAATGGCTATATAGTAATAATAGCATAATACGTATGTGCTTAGAATGATAATTCCTCGTATTATCTTCTTTTATACCTACGATTATGATTTTCAAATCCACATTTCTAGTAGTGTGTTAACATAAGTAATGATGTTTTTAAGTAATTTATTTAGTATTTAAATTCTGATCATTTTGCTTTACTTTGCTCTAAGCTTAAATCTAATTTAAAGTTATTTGTATATTTTTTACACAAAAGAGATTTAAGATCTAAGCTCTAAGTAAATGGTAGTGATAAAGTAAAGAAATGAATGTAAAATGGATACGATCCTCGTGTTGATTAATCAATTTCTTCTTCCTAAACGTTTAGAAGATGACCTCATCATGT